TCTTGCATTGAGGGAGTACTTGAGTGGAGGCCCAATGTCCATCTGCTACCTTAATACTAAACCTATAAATATATGCACATAGATCTATTCCCCAATCCTCATATATAAATATATTTGCATATGTACAAGCTTTTATCTAGACCTCTATAAATGTCCTATGCCTCCCAGCTCTTTCCTCTATTTCCCTTGACTTTCCTCCTGCCCCATTATCATGCTCAGTCCCCACCAGGGTTTAAGCAATTCCTCTTTGTTATATTACCCTTCCTCATGCCCTACCAGGTCTCCCAAACCCACCTCACCACCAATTTGGATCACTTGTTGTTCCCTTGTCCCTGGGTTTGTTAACATCACTTCCTTTCCCCTCAACTCCCCTCCCCCTCTCCCATGTCCCCCCAGAACTGTCAGTCCCATTGTTTTCTCCTCCAGATTGTTCATCCAGCCTATCTTATTTAGACAGATCTCATCGTTAGCAATGACACATCCAACAAAGGCCTTATTACTAAAATCTACAATACTCTGCTAGCTTCCAAAAAGAAAAAAACTAATTGCCCACTTGAGGGCTGGGCAAAGGACCTGAACAGAAATTAACAGGGGTAGAAATCTGAATGGCCAACAAACTTGTGAGAAAATGTTCCCTATCTTTAGCCATAAGACAAATACAAATTAAAACAACAATGAGGTACCACCTAACACCCACAAAGGTAGCCCAATTCAAAAAATCAGAAAGCAACAAGTGTTGGAGGGGCTGTGGGGAAACAGGACCTCTCATCCACTGCTGGTGGACTTGTAAGTATGTACAACCACTATGGAAATTGATCTGGCTTTATCTAAAACAGATGCAAATCGAGTTACCATACGACCCAGCAATCCCCCTACTGGGCATATACCCAGAAGAGGCAAGAAACAAACTACGGCTAGACATCTGTGTCCAATGTTTATTGCAGCACAGTTCACAATTGCAAGGAGTTGGAAGCAACCCAAATTTCCATCAACTGATGATTGGATTAAAAACTGTGGTATATACAAACAATGGAGTACCACGCATCACTAAAAAGCAGTAATGAACTATGAAGCACATCGCTGCATGGGAGAACTGGAGAAAATCATGCTGCGCGAAGTAAGTCAAGCACAAAAGGACAAATACAACATGAGTCCGCTGAGGTAAGCTTTTAAAAAATAAAATGCAAAAGGGGCATAGGGAAAAAGCTACTGTATACAAACATTCCTGGGGTGAGGACCGGGTAGTATGGCAGTGACCAGATCAAATGCAGGGATGCACATGGTAGACAACTGGGGAGGAGGTGGGGAAAGGAAAAAAA